CCACCCCCCGTCTTTAAACCATTTAAGAGATTAAAGCATTTGATAGAAATCTTACGAAGTTTAGATATAGAATCTAGACCTTGATGTACCACTGACAATATCCCGAGAGACACTCTACCCGACCCATCAACGGTTTACAAATGATCTACACGGATCGATGTTACGCTAGGGTACTCTAGTGTCCAGCGAAGCGAATCATTTCTGGCAACAGGTTGTCAGAACCCGCTTAACGAAACCGACAGGCTAATAGCTAACTTGCCTCTATTTGCATTTATTGCTTCCCACTTCTCATGCAGGGAACCCACAACTGCTAGAAGATGAGGCGTGGCAGTTTGCCAAATTCGAATTCTCTAACGACTTAATGAAAGGTCTAATTTACAGACCTTGACGCTGACGATCATGCTCACGGCCATTTTCTTTGTAGGTTTTTTTATTTGGGTTAGCAAACGTATTTAAACCTTCTGATTGTCGCATTATTTCGTCCGATCCGATGTGCAAAGACTTTGTGCAAAAGCAGTTACACTTTACGCCCTATGTCAACAGGTTAAGAGGAAGAGCTATGTGAAAACAAATAATTAGTTGCGTGTTACCTTCCGCATACATGATAGGCGCCCTGGAAGCAGATACATTGTCAGAACTTTTTAAACTGTATCTCCATTGTCAGTTATAAATTTGTGTCTAGCTTGTAACATTAACGTTCAAGTACTAGTGCACAGTTACCTTCCCCATCCCTCCCCCGAGCGTCTTCAGGGTTTCTTTCAATTGAGGCTGAATATTTGAACAGGCATCAACATCTCAGCACCCCCCCTCCCCCACCCTCACGCTCTCTCTCCCACACCACCCACACATTAACTTTTGCGCACATAAAAAGAACCACACCCGTCGTTCTTCTGCAACGAATTCCTAATATGTTATTTATATGGTAATAAATAAAGAGTCTTTACGAACAACAAGAAGAACAGCAATAAAAGGAACAATGAGTACAGAAATATCAACCCCCCCC